GGATCCAGCTTTATGCTATCTAGTCGCGATGGGCGCTCAGCTCAGATGCGACCCCATCAAGGACATGAGAAGCTTACGTCCGCCGAATCCTCCCCTAGGCTAGCCCGCAAGGAAGCTACCAAAGAAGCAGTCAAGCGGGAGTTGGGCAAGAACTATCAGTACTTCTCTGGCAATACTGCGTTTTGCTGGGGCGGCAGGCTACAAAATACGCGAGACCGGCCGGTTAACGTAGCCACGGCTATATTAATCATTTTACCTGCTGGTCTCTTTTTCGGGTTCTCGTTCGTACACCGTTCCCTGCGGCTGCTGTCACCTATGCTAACTATCATTACAGGGCACCTTGGCTATGGACCCACGTTTCTCCTTCGATACCCATTCTCTTTGCATACTTGCTTCTAGTTTCCATTTCCTCGTTTTTCCATGCGTCCGCTTCGGATCCCGGCGTATGTCATGCACCCTCTACATTCTGAACATCACTGACTCTTACAGATACTGCCCCGGAATCTACATCCATTTCCTCCGCCTAATCCTAATGACGACCCGCTCAATCTCGGACCTCCCACCACTGAGTGGACCATGGTCGTTTCCGCAACCGGCACCAATGCTGCTATGGAAGTGCCGACGAAGTACTGTAAGAGTTGCAATATCTGGCGACCCCCACGTGCTCACCATTGCCGTGTGTGTGACAACTGCATTGAGACGCAAGATCATCATTGCGTCTGGCTCAACAACTGCGTGGGACGCCGCAACTACCGTTACTTTTTCGTCTTCGTCTGTGCCACCACCTTGCTAGGGCTTTTTCTCCTAGGCGCTAGCCTGGCACATCTCTTGGTCTGGCGAGCACAAAATGGAGCATCTTTTGGTGAGGCTATTGATCGATGGCGTGTGCCCTTTGCCATGTGTATATATGGACTCCTGGGATGGTCATATCCCTTCAGCCTTGGTGTGTACCATCTCTTCTTGGTCGGCAGGGGCGAGACGACACGTGAATATCTCAACTCGCACAAGTTCCTTAAAAAGGATCGACATAGACCTTTTACACAGGGCTCAGTCTTGAAAAACTGGATCGCTGTATTGCAACGACCGCGTCCGCCGACATATCTGCACTTCAAGAGAAGGTACGAGGAAGGCGATCAGAGGTTTGGCCCGCGCAGAGATAAACGCACTGCACCTTTGGCTCCAGAGCAGCAGGGCGGCGGAGTGGAGATGCAGGATGTTCGCGGGTCGGAGGCGTTCCAGGGCCCAAGTAGCAGGTCTGGACATGACGCTGCAGATGCGACTGTGGCATGAGACGACGGTTCTGATCAGCTTAATCATAGATTAGCCCATCTTAAGTAATAACTCCTTCATGATACGCGATTGCATAGCAAGGCACCATTCGACCACTTGTATGCATGGACTGTGGTTTTATTTCAATGTGCCTATTTACCTAGAGTGTTTTTTTCTTCAGTGAACTTGCACCCAGAGGCGTGCTTATATGTGCTAGGGTTGAGACGGAGTGCTAGGGGTGCTGGTGCTGGTAACACTGGATAGACAGGGACGGCCTAATTGGCTGACTGACTAGCTACATGTGTTTACCTCCAATCCTCCATCCGTCCATCCATCTCCTAAGTCCGGCTCGCTGCACCTGCCAATGCATGCTCACCTTTTCTACTGAACCGGATTAACTGTTGTGCACGTTTCTACGCCTGCCCTCTGCCTACTGCGCGTAGACTTTGGCAGTGTTGCTTCGTGAGCGCCGTTAACCCGCCCAAACCGTCGACCTCCTTCGCGCGTCAGTGCCTCGCCCCTCAAGACAACGACCGCGACGCGTGCTGCAACCCTCCTTCTCCGCTACCATGGCCGAGCGCGATCACTCACCCACTTCGACATCCTCTACCCTCTCCAACATCACGGTGCAGACGGACAAGCACGGCGATGCTCGCGCCACGTCCAGCGCGTCGCCCTCCATCTCGACGCCTCCTACCAGTCTCGGCGACGAAGCCAGCGTCATGTCTGAGATAACCAAGATCGAACACGCTGTCGAAGTGTACGAGGAGGCTCCTGGCTTGCAGATGACTAGCGACACAGCAGCCCCCGCGCAAACCACTGCGCCCGATGCCGCCAGCAGTGAGATCCGCCGGCCCGCGAGGGCCTCGCGCAAATCCGTCACCACGTACAATGTGCAGATTCTCGCCGGAACAGCCATCCACACGCCGACCAAGTACCTCGAGAAGCATCACAAGAACGTCGTGCATGGCTCGCTTGAGAGCATTGCGAAGGCGGAGAATGCGACACCTGTACGGAAGAAGATGCTGAAGCGGAAGTCCGAGATGACGGATGCCAGCGATCAAATCGAGGAGCAGCTGGCTACCGAAGCTGCCCAAGCAGCACGACGTCGCACTTCCTCGCGCGTGACGGATCTTCGCAAGGAGGCCTTCCGCAACATAACAGGCAATAGTTCGGACGGAAGGGCTTCCAATCAAAGCACTCTACGACGTAGCACTTCAGAACCTTCTTTGAAATCCAAATCAGCTGCTTCCGCGGCTTCTTTGAAGCGCTCTCGCGCAACAATGGAAGATGGAGGTCGCCAACCTAACAACCAAGCGCAGGAAGAGAAAATCTTCTCGAAGCCCAAGTCGAAAGTCTGGCTCAAGCAGGGTCTATATGTGGGCCAGGATCGCGACTTTGATCCTCGCCTCTCAGAGAGCCAGAACCGCGCGAAGAAGAGAGCCAAGAAACCAGGGAAGGCTCACAGTTTACCCCTCCCGATGTTTGCTTGCGAACGCCTCTTGAACGAGGACCCCAAACTTGTGTTTCGCGACTTCAAATTGCCATTCGACACTTACAGCCCTCTACCCAGGAAAGTCAAAGTCGACGGCTGGGTTAAGCTCAACAAAAGTAAGACGACCGCGCTGTCAATCTGGTGAATGCCACTAATGCCTTGTAGACAGATTCATTGGCGACGCGTCTGCACTGTGGAAACGCGACAAGCAAGACTCTTCCCAGTGCTATTGCGATGCCGAAGACGGCTGCGGAGAAGCCTGTCATAACCGGATCATGGCATACGAATGCGATAACACCAACTGTCCCCTTCCTCCGGAATTATGTAACAATCGGCCATTTGCAGAGCTCAAGCGACGTGCTAAAGGCAACCGTTACGATTACGGCGTGGAGGTTCTCGATACGAAAGACCGAGGCTTTGGTGTGCGTGCTATGAGAACTTTCGACCCCCACCAAATTATCGTAGAATATGCCGGAGAAATTATTACCCAGACTGAATGCGAGCGACGCATGAAGCAGGTTTACAAGAAAGACAAGGTGAGCTGTCTATATCTTTGCTTGCCCACTTCTACTGACCCGCTACAGTGCTATTATCTTATGAGTTTCGACAACAAAATGATCATAGACGCAACCCGTGGAACGATTGCGCGTTTCGTCAACCACTCATGTGAACCTAACTGTGAGATGATCAAGTGGACTGTGGGCGGAGAACCACGAATGGCACTCTTCGCTGGTCCTCGAGGCATCATGACCGGCGACGAGCTAACCTACGATTACAATTTCGAGTAAGTCATTTTTCACAGCATACTCGTTGGACCAATCTGACATTCGCAGTCCGTTTTCGCAGAAGAATATCCAGGAATGTCGTTGTGGCACTGAGTCGTGTCGAGGTGTCCTCGGTCCCAAACCGAAGAAACCCATTGAGGAAAAGTCCATAGCTTCGGCTCTCATCGCTGGCACCAAACGCAAGCTTCAAGATCTGCTGGGTTCCCGGAGATCCGGTTCTGAAAGCACTCAAAGCTCCCCCAAGAAGCGCAGAATGCTTCTTGGTAACTCAGTTAGCACAAAGGCAAAGAATGCCCTTGCTCGATCAGAGTCTGCTCGCGAGCGAGCTGAAAGAGAGGCAAATGAGCTGTCGCGCCAGAATGCGTCTCGCGAGAACCGCGCGCTCAAACGCTCCAGTTCTGGTAACATTGATAAACGCACACGATCAACCAATTCGCGGGCGGTGCAACCGTCTACTGTCATTCATACCCGACGCACAACTGTCACCTATCAAAGGAAGGTTTCTAGGCCTGGTGCATTGAAAAAGGTTAAGCCCTCTCGACTACAATCGACGCTTAAGAACAGAAAGGCACTTCGTTCTCAACGACCAAGCACGCCTACTCGTGATACGGACACGGACATGCTGGAATCAGAGGAAGATGCTTCACCGAACATAACTCCTGCATCTTTGCGCAGTGCAACGAGGAAATCACCCCTTGCTAGTCCCATCTCCCAAGAGGATATGGCTGCAGTGAAAGGCCGTGTGTCTCGCAAATCTTCGATCCGGAGTGTACGGGGAAGGTGAAAGATCTATTATCAACTTCCCGTATACCGCAGACTTGTACCAACCTACGTTCTGCGGTAGTACTTGTCCAAGAGCATCGATTGATGTACTCTTACTAGGCTCTTTCCAGTGTTTTTCTAAAGGATGTGGGTAGATATATGTACAGATAGTTTTTTCCATTATCAACTATGGAAAGTGGAGAGAGACGGCTTCTTGCCTCAAGTAGCTGTTGTGATACGTTTTAACAATACTATTATTGTGTTCTGTTTACCTAGAATCTCGTTCTCAAAGCTGGCTTCTCTTTTGCAGATAGAACATTCTGCTAGTAAGAACTACAATGAAAGCCCGAAGTGATTTCTAACGGAATCAAGACGCCCTGTTCTCTGACTTGGCTGGGGGGACGTTTCTGGAATTCAATGTTCCTCGCACGGGCCCGCAGTATGCAACGGCGATTACCTTATCACTCTACCTAATAAGATGGCAGCTTTAATCTGCCAATCAAAGCATTCGCTCACGGCCATACGTTCTGAGTCAAAACACCCTGCTTCGTGGGGCCATGACAAGTGATTATGGTCGTACTCCGACATGCTTTGCCTATTACAGAGGTACTAAGAGCTACCTAGGTAGGCTATCCATCACTAACGTCTGCGAACCTTGCTTTTCCTTCTCAATAATTACCCCAATCACCATGTTGTCAGTCAACGATATTGTCGTTCTTCCCGTCTCCTGGGATCATCAAGATAGTGTTAAACTCCGTACCACCCAGCGAACCGAGATTACCACCCTCGGAGGTGTAGACCCCGGCACTCCACCATCAGCCGCTGACATTCCAATCTTTCTGGTTGCTTATTGCGCTGGCGTTCCAGTCGGCTGCGGCGGCCTACGCCCACTGTCTTCATTAGATAGTGCACTCAGCAATGCTGCTGAAATCAAGCGAATGTTTGTTGACCCATCATACCGAGGGCCGATAAGTGGGAACAAAGGCTTGAGTCTTTCCATTGCGGAATTGATACTCAACAGGTTGGAAGACGAGGCGTTAGAAAGAGGCTGGTCGACGTTGCTATTGGAGACTGGTACCTTTTTGGTGAAAGCAAGACGCTTCTATGAAAAACGTGGGTTTATTCAACGCGATATGTTTGGAAACTACAACGAAGCAGACAACAGTGTCTGTTACGAGAAGCGGCTTGATCCAAACCTAGTGGCGCCCGTATCCTCGTAAAGCTGCGATGGTTCGACTTCTGCATCGGCATAGGGTGTTTGCAGGATAGTCATAGATTCGCGGTAGTATGGTAGTGTAAAATTAACGTCATGCTCAAACAAACATTCAAGTAAGCAGCATCGACACATGGAGGCACAGTTTTCACGCTTTGATCCCAAGCATTCAGAAGCAGAGGACGTTTGAAGTGGTCAAGTATTAATATTATCAAGCTCTATAGGAAAATTACTACCGTCAAGAGCTCAACTCGACCCGCTACTAATTACATGAATCAAAGTTTGTAAGAAGAAAAACCATGCTGTTCGAAAACACGACTCCGATCGTATAGCCGCATGTAGTGTTGATCATTGGTGGTATCGAAAAATAGTCGTGTTTGTCGAACCGTTATCGGTGTTGCAGCAAGGCTGTGAGGCATGTTGTCTCCAAGTACCCGTCGATTGGCTTGAGTACTAGACATAATCCTCTGTTGTGTCGAAAAGGGTGGGAAGAATCGAAGTAAGGGGGCAAGCCAGAACCCGTTAACATGTAGTTGTTGCGTTTGTCCAACTACCATTGGTCTCTCGAAAGACCGTTTAACGGCGGCTAACAGTGCAGCCCCAGCCACCGCCGGGGATGGGGTCTCCACGTTGGACTGTGCAGCCGCCGCCAGGAATGATGTCGTTACGCATGACGGTGCAACCACCGCCGGGAATGGGGTCGCCACGCTTGCTGACAGTGCATGAAATACCAGGGATGGGCTTGGAGGAGAACATCATGTTGACGTTTCGATTGATTGGTTGGTTGGTTGGCAACTGGTCAAGAAATGTTTGGAAGGATTGGAGTTGCTAAATGACTGAATGTTCTTATGGCCTGGAGTCAGATGGGAGAGGACAACTGCCTCCTTTATACATCGTTTGCAGCGAAGTACACAGGACGAAACAATGAAGCTAACCTTATGGCTATCGATGCGAAAGGTCCAGAGCTTGCTCGCGATAAGAGAACACCGAGTCCTGTTACCCTTACTATTGTTCGTAGATTCGCCACTACTATTGTTCTTATACATGACCCGTTGTGCCAAGGTTTTGGCTTGTCATTGTACGAACACCTCCCTTCCTGTTAGCAGTGATAACAAAGAAAAATTAGCAGCAGAAAAGCGCCTCAATGACCTTTGTATCGATGCTCCGGTAATGACGTGATCTGGATGACCGGCAAAACATAGTAGTGCAGGCCTGGACGCTCAACGACCTCAAGAACGAGTCAGTTGTGGTAGGTTTCGATGCCCTAGGTATACCGATTTGGCTGTCATATCTAGAACTGGCCATCATGTGCGAACAGGCAGATCGTAAAATCTTCACATACTGCATATCTTACGAGTCCAGGAAAGCGAAGGAATAATCTCCGCACAGGGAATCGTTAACAATATGGCTTGTAACTTTGAGCGAACCCAAGCATGTTGCCAGCAGATTGTTCAGCTCAAGGAACAATAGTATAGTACCTTCAGGTAGATGCTTCTTGAAGAGATGTTGAAGACAGATGAGCGAGTGTTCTGGCAAGTCATTCTCCCGTACCGTTATGTAGCGCTTGATGCTGTAAGTCTCCGGTGCTTTTGGACAGAAAGCGAAACCCCTGCATATGCATGTTTTGCATGCCAAGAAGATGATCGTTAGTTCGATGGGGTCTATGCTGTTGAAGGATTATTTGCTCCGATATGATATGCCGTAAGTCGTGAGAGAGCCTTAGGGTGCGTGCGACTTCCAATGGCGGGTAGCGGGATGATGACTAAAGATTCCACGTCATGCTAACTGCTGCAAGTTAGGAAGACATCATACCTCTACAACGAACTCTCAGACGACCAACAGCAATGTACGCGACGAAATTACTTCCTCGCTGCGGCTACCGCCTACCTCTACGCCGCGCATTCCAAACCGCTGCTGCCCCTAACAGCCGTGCCTCCGATTTTGCTTTCGCTTTCGAGTAAGGCGGCACGCCATCGGCCTCTCAATACAGCAGCTGACGGCTGTCAGTATCGACGGAGTACTCCTGAGGAGTTCGGACGCATTACCGCGAGCTCGAAAGGCCCTCACTTATCTCCAAACGCAGCGCATTCCCTTCATACTCTTGACCAATGGCGGCGGCAAACATGAATCCGAGCGCGTGGCCGAGTTGAGCAGTAAACTGGACGTGGCTATCGATACGTCCATGTTTGTCCAGAGTCACACCCCCTTTGCCGACATGAACGACCTAAAGGATAAGACAGTCATGGTTGTTGGTGGAGTGGAGGATAAATGCAGGAGAGTTGCCGAAGCATACGGGTACGATAACATGCAATTACGTTGTGCCGCAACATTCTAACGAAGTCGCATAGCTTCAAAAACGTTGTCACCCCTGGCGACATTCTAGTTGCTCATCCCGAAGTATGGCCTTTCTCCCAGCAATTGCTATCATACTACAAGACCTTCACTCGACCGCTGCCGACCCCAATCGATGTTACCACACCATCGACCTCGCTTCGCATCGATGCTGTCTTTGTGTACAATGACCCGCGGGACTGGGGTTTGGATGCGCAGATCATTAAGGATGTTCTGTTGTCAGAGCGTGGCATCATTGGGACTCTGTCAAAGAAGAACGGCAACCCTGCTTTGGAGAACCGTGGTTATCAGCAAGACGGGCAACCACCACTTTACTTCTCGAACCCAGACCTACTGTGGGCGGCGAAATACCACTTACCACGCCTAGGCCAAGGAGGATTTCGCGAAGCGTTCGAAGGCATCTGGGCTGCAATAACCGGTGGCGAGGCACAAGGTGTCAAGCTGCAAAAGGTCGTGATGGGTAAACCACACCAACCTACATATGAGTTCGCAGAGAAGCGCCTGATAGCGCATCGGCATAACATAATGCAACGCTACGGTAGTCCTCTCGGGCATCTCAAGCGTGTGTATATGGTCGGTGATAATCCGGCGAGTGATATTGCTGGCGGTAATGATTACCGGAGCCCGTACGGCACAGACTGGGCTAGTGTGTTAGTAGAGACAGGTGTCTATCAGAAGGGCACAAAACCAACACCTCAGCCTCGCAAGATCGTGGGCGATGTCTGGGATGCCGTTTCGTGGGCTGTTGAACAGGAAAACTGGGTATCTTCAGCTAACACTCCTTGATGCTATGCTACAATACAAAATTCCGCCATGCTATGCACAAAAATAGGGTTGAGAAATCTCCATATAGAACATGGGTGGAGTAACCCGCTAAATATCAGGTCTACTGCTCATCTGCTTGAGCTTTGAATAGAATTTCAATCATGATCTATTGTTGCCCCACCCACTGCACGAACCTATGAAGCAGAAATGTCAGTACTCAGCACACAAGTTAGGGTGTTTAACTTACATCAAATCGCCGGGCCCGAGATTATTAGCTCTTGCCACCGCTTTGCTGTCTTCGATGATTCCAGTTTCTAGGTTACGGGCATAGATGTCGACGTTTTTGCTGAGTTGATTTGCGACCGCAATCAACGATCCATTCTGGTTCATACTGAAGTGGCGAGGGTACCATCCCCCTGATTTTGCAAGCTGGACAAACGATAGCTTCCCGTCGGCTGACGGTTTGAACGTCACAAGTGAATCACTTGGAACTTGAGTGCTGTTGGTTGGGTCCGAATTCTCTGCTTTGAAAACTGTGCCGTTACGGTTTGCTGCGATCAAGAACTTGTTATCAGGCGAGAGCGTCATCTCCGAAGCGAACGTCGCTGGTGGGACGGTTTGATTGCCGTATGTGCTGACCTCGTCGACTTCGGTAAAAGCTAGGCCACCCTGCTCCAGATAACAAACTTCGTAACTAGTGATTTTGTTGCTCTTCTCATGGACTACAAAAAGGTACGTCTTTGTAGAATTGGAACCTGTCCAGAAAACTGCATGTCGCGGACCGTATCCTTGCTTGGATTTGAGTGGCGCATGCTCTGTGAGCAAGTGGCTGACAGGATCGATGCAATAGACGTGGACTGTATCTGCACCGAGACTGGGGAATATCATGTATTGCCCCGTAGGATCGACGACCGCTTGATGGATTTGCTCAGGCGCCTGGAAGGTGATGTTTTGCAAAGACGAAAATTTGTTTTCCCCATCGATAGTAAACAGTGATATGGCTGGCTCGGGTCCGTACTGTTAGGTTTACCATAAAGTGAGTACTTGATCGGATAAAAATTTGAGAAGAAGGAAAGTTGTACGTACGTGAGCAAGGGCTAATGCGGATTTGTTATTGTAGGACGCCGAGGATACTGCTCCTCCCAGCACACTGGTATTGGACACCTTTTGGAGGCTGCCGTCATCACCAAGGCTCAACATTGTGAGACTAGCATTGGCAGCTGATTCGTCTAGACAGACTATCCTATCCAGGCCAAGGGACGCATCCAACCATGTAGGCAAAGTTCCACACTCGTGGTTCTCTTGGGTAACTTTCATCGCATGGCTAGAATTTGCGCTTGTGCTAGGCAGTACTTCGAGCGTCTGGATGGCGCCAGCATGAGTTTCATTTCCGTATGAAGCCACCAGCAGCCGGTCGGCAGCTGCTTGCCCTATAACTGACAAAGCGATGAGTAAAGTGTTCATTGTTGGTAAGAAAGAAGACTCGGAAGTGTTGAGGTAGCCAGAAATAAGCAAAGTAGTATTGTTTTTCAGGGGCCGAAATTTATGTGGTAGTGATCAGCAGAAGGAGCGTTGTCGTCGGTGAGATTTTTATTGTATGCGAGAGAGATATGAAGAGACTATGACACGCAAAGAAACACAATGTAAGGGAGTGTGAAATAATTCTTTGTGAGAATTCATGAACATTCACAGCGTATGTTTCCATGCATGTGTATATGGTGGTGCTCCTTACATGTTTCACATTGATCGCTATCAAGCATACCAGTGGTCTTAGGTTTGTAAACGCGGCTAGTTCTGGTTGGCATGTCAGATTTGAAGGAGCGGCTGTTACATGTAACAGAGTGTGACGGCCCTTTGCTGACGATTGGCAGGGCGGGGGTCGAACATCATTTGTGGTTCGGCCCTATTCGGAGATAACAGGCATTATAGTTCGGCGGCGAACCAATAGTCGCGCTAGTGCGTCATATTCCATCTCTGCGCGGATGATGGCGCGTGTATACTGGCGACTTTCCTCACGAGCCACGCATTCCCACACGCGACCGTGCTAGATATGCCTGCCTCCATTACCAGTTATGCAAACTATCTCCCCAGCGAACTACTTCTTGAGATCTTGGCTCATTTCGAAACGCTGGGCAAGCTTGAGAGGCAAACGACGCTAGCCCGCTTCTCAGCAGTCAATAGGTAATCGTTGCACTGACAATTCAGTCACATAAGCTTACAAGACCAGACAGTGGTATGATGTATGTAAATGTCTATCTATTGGACATTAGATGTACCGTAACTAATCTCGCTGCCCGAATAGGTAGCAGTTCAACCGTTATATGAATCACCATATCTGTCTGGAAGCGCATACGAACTCTTTGTTCGCACGATATGTCCTTCTGTACTAGCTCGCATCAAGGTAAGTTGCATCAAAGGTAATCAGTGGTATCTGCTAACTTGTTATAAGCCGACAGCGTTGGCGAGTTTGGTGAAGTCCCTTGACTTATCCCACATCGTACACCAAGGCGCCAAGTCCACAACGGCTAGATTACTAGGCCGAACGAGAGCATCTCTTGAAGTCTTTGTAGCACCCCAAGCTAGCTTTGCGATTAATTGCTGGGCTAGTCTAAGCAAATGCACTCGACTGCGCGTTCTTGACCTGAGCCTGTCAGTAAGCCCCAAGTACATGATGCATTCGGCTCGTAGACTGACGCGCAATTTCAATATCAGGGTGTCAGAATGTATCAGCTTCCAAAGCCTGAACCAAACCATACGGCAGTTGGGAGATTTGCGTGAGCTTTACTTGCCTCGCTGTTCGTCGAGATACGAACCACCAGCGACACCAGGTGGTCCCAGCATCCGCTGGCCACCCAAGCTTGAACATCTTGCGTTATCCGGATCAGTCTCGGGTCAGTTCCTATGGGACATGTTACGACAACCAGACAACTTCCCACCGACGTTCTCCTCACTAGGTATCTACCATAGTCCTGGGCTAGATCAGTATGTCAAAGTCACGCCTCGAGAAAGTCACTGGTTGACTGAACCTGATGAGCGCAATGCTGATTTTCAATTCACAGACAAGGCATCAGGCCGCTGCTCAACAGCTTAGCTGCGTCGCTGACTGTTGTCGAACTGCGTGATTTGCCAGCCGTCAAGCAAGGTCGACTGAACGGTGTGCTAGACTGGCTACCTAATTTGGTATCTCTGACTATTGCGCTCGACTATATTGACAGTCGGTTCGGAAATATGCCACCAGACTTTTCTCCGGCGCGATGGCAAGAAGCCAAGCCACTGTACAGCCTCACCCTTGTCGCCTGTGGACGAACTGGCGATCCGTCACGCAGCTTCACCATGACCGATCTTTTTACCATGATAGACGAGCGTTTCTTAGGCCGTCTACGCTATTTGAGTATAGGATGGAGTACTGAGTGGCAGAGTGAGGATGAGGTTTTGGGTGCGCTGGATTCTAGCATAGATGACTTGGACAAGGAGAATTGGTTGGAGCGCAGATGGCACTATCAAGATTTGGATTTTACGGATACGAGAGACATGGAATACGAGCAATGGAGAACAAACACAGCAATGGGTAGAAGGATGAGACCGCGATTTCGACTTTTGAAAAATCGATGACTGGACTACTTGGCACGTTGGATTGCGGGTCTAGATAATTTTCATTGCAGCCAGCTCAAAAGTTTAAGCCTTTCAATAGGCCTATACAAGCTACTGGTAGCGGTCAAGTAAAGAAACAAGCTGTCTATGTCGTTTACATCGCATATGAGGAAGGGCTCTCGTCCAGCGGTTGGTGAATTGGTATAGTGGAGAAGTCGAGTCCACCTTAGGCGCTGCCGTTAACCTTCTTTCCTTGGATCATACCACGGACACCGCCCTTGCCGCCAACTTCACGGATGATGGCGTTTATGCTCAGGTCGGCGCCAATGTTAATTTGCACTTCAACCTTTCCTCCCTTCTTCACTCCACGGACCGCAGCCTCGCTTAGCACTTGGCCGACCTTCCATGTCTTTTCCCTCAGCTCTTCCTCCTCCTCTTCGCTGTCGTCATCGCTATCATCGTCTTCCGAGTCGTCATCTTTCTTTTCAGACTTGGGCTTTGGTTCTGGCTTCGTGACCTTGATGTGTCGTGAGCCTTCGGCAAGTTTGATAAGCACATCACCACCCTCTCGTGGTGTCGTGATGGTTGCAGTGCGTCGAACGGGGAGTTGTGTCTCGGTATCAACAATGGCGTGGAAAACGCCGGAGGATTCGTCACCCGAGATGCACAACACACCAACAGCGGTAGAAAGATGGGGCGTAACGGTGACCATGGGGTGAGAGCTTTGTTCAATGTCCTCAAGCTCGAACTCCTGGATGAGGCTGGCCTGAATGGCGGCACCGCGGACTGCCAGTTCCGAAGGGTTGATGGCGGATGGGGATGTGGAAGGCGCGAGGACAGTCGTGGAGTCTGGGAAGGCTGATCGTACTGCCGAAGCAACCTTGGGGGTATGTGAGTTACCACCAGCCAATACAATCTCAGAGATGTCGAGAGGGTCCAAGTTGGCCTTCTCCACAGCTTGCGTTACAAGACGAGTGAAAGCGGCGAACAGCTTGCTTCCCAGGAGATCATAACGGGTACGGTTGATGGTTGCGGTAAAGTCAGTGCCGCCCACTAAGCTCTCTACGGAGAAGTTGGCGGTGCTACCAATGGATAGCGCCTTCTTGACGGCTTCGCACTCGAGCTTCAGCTTGGCCAACGATCGGTCGTTCTCCCGGGGGTCACCTGCCGACTTGTGTTTCTTGAGGAACTCCTTGGCAAAGTGGTCCATGAGCACTTGGTCGAGCTTGAAGCCGCTAACATCATAGTCGTGTAGAGTGGCCAGGATAGTGTAAATGCCACCACGGGATGCGACCACGGCGACATCCGAACGAGTACCACCCAAGTCAGCGACAACGACGATCTTGTCGGCTAGCTTCGCATCAGGTTGGGCATCGTAGGCCAGGACAGCAGCCGTGGGCTCGCTGATGAACTGCAGAACCTCAATACCAGCATTTGTTGAAGCCTTCTTGAGAGCCTCCTTCTGGGCGTCGCTGAAGTTTGTGGGTACGGTGATGACGGCGGCGTTGACGTCCTTTCCGAGGTAGTCAGAGGCAGAGCTTCGCAGTCTCTTCATGTGGCGTGTGGTGATATCGATAACGGAAACGGTGTTTTCCTTCTCTTCTTCGGTGTCGCGAATGGTGAAAGCCACGCTGTCTTCATGCTGTATGGGGTGAGCCGACTGGTGGCATGGCGAGGGGTCTATCGATTTGAAGCTTCAGAGCGTCAGTCTCGTCGGACATGGAGGGTTGATCAGGCTGCCTACTCTTGTCCGAGAAAGTCGCGGAAGTAGGCGACTGTGTTCTTCGCATTGCGGACGAATTGGCTCTTGGCCTGTCCACCGTGGAGTTCCTCTCCTTCAACGTAGGACAGAGTGGAGGGGATCTGGCGATCTGAGGACAAATTAGCAATGGAGGGGATCCAGGGCGTGGGGCAAGCAGCATACCTCCGTCTTCGTTGGCGATGACCTGTGCTCTGCCTTCCTGTTATGTGTCAGAAACACTCAGAGAAAACGGCTATAGACATGCATTACGTACACCGCTGGTAAAGGCAATAGAGCTGTATGAATTGCCAAAGGATATTCCTATCGCGACTCTCTGCGCGGGGTCCGCTTGCGCACTCATCTTGCGCGGGTATACGTCGTTTGGTTACGTGAACGGGTTTCGAGTTAGAGTGAGACGATCGGGTATTGACGAGAAAGCGGTAAAAGTGGAAGAATTGAGGATACCCGACTGTGGCTGCGTTTGTAGCGCGTGTGTTTCTGCGCGGCTAAGAAATTCAGAGTCGTGCATTTTTCTCGGAAGCGCACGGGCTTCTTCGGAATGAGCTCACTATACCTAGGATTGCACATGTTACCATGTACTCTACCAACAACCAAGGAAACACGACTCGGCAAGCACCACCATGGCAGCGTCAGCCACAATTGTCCTGCCGGGCGACGACATCGCGAAGAGCGCCCTGCCTACAGGCACAGGCAAAAAGAAGACGCTCACCCTCGGACCAGGTTTGCGACACACGCCGCCAGACACGGTCACTGCTACAATTGCGGGCGCGCTCGTGACAGACAACAAGAAGAATGCTGCTTCGGTTGAATACAACACTGGAAGGGTTAGAAAGCTCTTGTTGCGCCTTGCTTGCTCTCGGCCTGCTAACACTCGTCACAGTACCTTCCTTTCGCGGGCGACCTCGTCATTGCGACTGTCAATGGTTCTGCCGCAGAGAACTTCAACTGCCTCCTTACCCCGAACACACCGCCTGCGACCCTCCCCCATTTGGCCTTCGAGGGTGCGACTAAGAAGACACGACCCCAGCTTCCTCCAAACTCTCTGGTGTACTGCCGCGTTGCCAGCGCTGGCAAGGATCTGCCATCAGAACTCACCTGCGTCGATCCTTCCACAGGCAAGAGTGAAGGACTCGGTCTTCTGAAGGGAGGCATGCTGTTCAAGGTGAGCCTGGGCATGGCTCGACGAATGCTTGCAGCACGTGGTGGCATAACTCTACTGCAGACCTTGGGTGCCAAAATCGGCTTCGAGGTCACAGTCGGTCGAAACGGACTTGTACACGTCGACGGGGGGAACATAAAGGCGACATTGGCAATAGGGCAGGCTATACAAGAGGTGGATGTTGCCGCCCTCGGAGACGAGGCACAGAAAAAGCTAGCTGCTGCGACTTTGAAACAATGCTGATGGAGAAATCATGGCTGTCATATCAAAATTCGCAATCGCAGGATGGATGGGTATCGCGATTATTACGCACGTCGGTCCATGCATGTTATGACTGAACACATGCAGGCTATCAACCGTTGGGAACAATCATCTGCAAGGGGTATCAGTGTGGTTTTGCGCCCAATACAGTACGCATAAAGGACGGGCACCTCTGGCACTGTAAACATAGAAATTACAGAGGCCGTACGTCACCGGATCACGTTGACTGCGACGTCCGGCCGCACTCGATGAAAGTGTGGGTTCTAATGAGCGAAGTTAAATGGGGGCAGAGGGCTTCACTGGAGGCATGTCTGAAATATTCCGACCATGCCCCCAAAGGCGGTATGCTCCATCGAAAGCAAGTATGCATCGGAAAATAGCTACTTACTTGAATAGTCGCATCCACAGACTAAACGGCGAGTATGTATAATATCTTCATTGTCTCTAGTGTACAATTGACTCTGCTGGTCGTTGACTCCACGAGACGCGACATTGCCCTTACATCAGCCCTCAGTATCTCCTCCATTCCACAACTGTCGGATTTTCATGCGATGTGTGAAGATCTGGACCAACCTTTTACTGCGTTCCGCGTACACGTGCAGTATCAAGTCCATGTCCATTCTGGTAACCCGTGTCTGCCAAGCATTATCAAGCAGGAGTTTTATCACTTCCTACAGGCAGAACGATCTTAAGGTACAACTCGCTGTGGGTCTCTGGGGAAGAGACTGCACATCCGAATGTTGGGCAGTCCGAGCCAGAATTGAACAATCCTCTCTAGACCGAAACCTCCTCCAGCGTGCGGTGGGCAGCCATACTTGAAGCAGTCTACGTAGTCCTTGGTTCCAGCACCGGCTGGATCAATTGGAGGATCATGCTTGCGCATCTGCTCTGCGAGGAGCTCCGAGCTGTGGATACGCTGCGCGCCAGAGAGAATTTCCTGACCCCTCATGAACATATCGTACGAGTTTGAGAGAGCGGGGTCGGCAGGTGATGGCATAGTGTAGGCGGGACGGATAGCGAGAGGGAATTGGTCCAGGACGTAGAAGTCGGTGTTGTACTTTTCCAGGACGAGACGGCCAAGCAGCTTTTCTTGCGGGGTTCTGGAAACGTTAGTCGAGCCTTGGAGGCTTTCTTCACCACACTTACGTTAGATCGTCGTAGTCGCCCAGCTCTTCTCCGGCTTCGCGAAGCATCTTAATACCTTCTTGGAAAGGAATTCTAGGCACGTTGCCAGACTGGGGAAGCTTGAACTCATCGACATGGTACACTCCTCTTACGAGTTCAGTCTCCTTCCGGTACCGTGAGTTGAGCTCGTTGAAAATGAAGAGCATAAGGTCCTCCAATACGCCCATGACTTCGTGGTAGTTTTCTTGGAATTCCATCTCAAGATCCAGTCCTGTGAATTCGGTCAAATGACGAGCGGTGTTAGAGTTCTCGGCGCGGAACACAGGGCCAATCTCCATGACTTTCTGGAAGCGGGAGGCGATCAGCATCTGCTTGTAAAACTGTGGTGACTGAGCAAGATACGCGGGACGACCAAAGTACTTCAACTCGAAGACGTTGGCTCCTCCTTCAGAGGCAGCACCACTAAGTGCCAGGTCAGCATCTGTATTGAGCTTTCGTAGAGATGACCTACAGTATCTTTGGGGTATGCACCAAGACGAAACCCTTCTTTGAGAGGAATTCCTGGAACAAGGCGCATACACCGCTCTTGATCACGAAGATGGATTGGTTGATCTTCGCCCGAAGATCAATCGTCCTGTTGTTTAGCCTCGTGTTCAGACTGACGAGTGGTCGCTCGCCACCCTCCTCCTCTTTCTGGTCTTCTTCGGTGGCAGCCTCGGTTGGCATGGGCCGTTCAGCATCGGACACCTGAAGTGGTAGCGGAATCTCCGCAGCAGCCTCGACGAACAACTTCTGGATGTGAATCTCGAAATCGGTGATACTGGCGCTCTTAATGGGCTCCTTCACACGCTTGACTATGCCCGTAACGACAAGTGTGCTCTCGGTGCTGACGTTGCCACAGAACTTGACCATCTGCTTGCTCAGCTTCTCGCTGGCCGCAACAACAGCCTGCACAGTGTTGAGGTTCTGTCGCAAGTTCAGGAAAGCGAGTTTCGCAGACTGAACCCTTGCATTCTCCACCCAGCATCTGAATGTGATCTCCTTGTCCTCATTGCTGGCGACATCGGCAAGCTCGGTGCGTGGAGTTCCCGTAGGCTTGTGTTCTTTGGAGCCAATGAGGGGAAGTTCGCCGTATGCGCCTACAGAGACGTCGGCGGCATCGTCGGCCTCCTTCTTGGTACGCTCAGCAAGTTCGCGGGCTTTGGCTGCAGCTTTCTTCTCTGCCTAGGCTATCGTGAGCATTATGAACTTGAAAGGAAGGGGATTCTACTGACCTTCTCTTTCTCTTTCTGCGCCTTCTTCAGCGCGTTCTTGGAAGGCGGCTCGGCGCCAGTAGGTGCGGCGTCACTCATTGTGGTAGTGTTGGGGATTTCAAGTCGCGTTGTGCAGTGGTCAGTCGTATCGTGCGGACGACTCACATTTCCATAGTGGGGCAGTCACAGCCCCGCTACCCCCCGCGGCGTCATAGCCAATTAGTGGCAGCCCGCCTGGCTAACATCATCGAGGACGTGTGTTTGAACTTGTGTGCAATTACTAATTGATGTAGCCTGGGTATAATAGAAATTGACAGTCCTGCTCGAACCCAATGCATTCCTGACGCCCAGCAACAAAATAAACTGCTGTGCTCCACCGTCTCAAAAAAAGTCAGGTCATTGAGACGACTTCACCAAAGCGACTGCATTCCTTTCCCTCAATCTCGGACTCTGCGAGGAGTCGTCAGATCACCCTCAGCCGATGATAGATGTTCTGCTAGACGCGGCTGTACTCGCGTTCCCATCCCAAAGTTTCACTGTTTTATTGACAGCTGAATGCTTTGGTTCGTGACACGAGAAGATATTGACGTGGGTGTCGTTGACGGCCGCTGCGGCAATCATCAGTCGGTGGGGATGGAAGGCAGTAACAGAGATGGGAGCAGATCGATCCCGAAGGAAACCCGAGTAGGGTTCAAGGTGAGATACGGGTTGACCGTTGTTTAGGTTGAAAATCTTCACACGGTGTCGTTGCGTGCCACTATCGATGTCAGCATGTTCCAGTCAGTTTACAGTTTATGAGCACTTACGTAGCGAAGACCGGAGCGTGCTCATGGACGCTAAGTGTCCTGAGCGTGTCGGAAGTCGCTTGTATAGTTTTTACACTGCGGTCCCAGCGGATATCCCATAGCTTGACCTCACCGCCGCGACAGCCGCTCACAAGTTCACGCTGACCACCACGCTGTAGATGGACGTTGGTGATCCATTGCTTGTGCTCTTTCCAGACCTTAACCATGGCGGTGGCAGGCTTTTGGCGCTGATCATATACTCGTATGGCGCCATCACCAAAGCCAGCGACGAACACATCTCCTTCGACTTGATCAGAGGTCAAGGATGTGATGCAAGAGCCCGAACGCGCCGGGAGATCCTACTCAAGTCAGCTAAGATTTCAAGAGACGCAGAGAGTGTAACTTACATTGGTGCATACTTCGGTCCCTGCGTTCCATACGCGGATGACCTTCACGTCGCCAGCGACCAGAATCAGACCTCTACCCTGCTGCCAATCAAAGACTAGCCCGGCATTCTTGTTGCTTGAAACAAGATCGGTGAGGGCTCGGAATCCAGTCACTAGTTCCGTCTCTCCTTTACGATCATAGTTGCGGAAGATCTTGATGACTCCATCCGAAGACCCAGTCATTAACAGGGCCTGATCGTCTTCGTTGATGAATCGAACGTCCGTTATCTTCGACTCGGGAGGGTTCCCGTTAGAAAAAGAATTGATCCTGCTAACCGATTTTGAGTAATCAAAGATATTGACGGTGTCCCGTGTATCTGTCACGACTAGATGATCTTCGAACTGATGGAAACACATTTTCGCAGGTTGGCTGAGGTTGTCAAAATACCCTCGGGGCACGTCCCAGCGGTTAGAGACAGCAATATCCTTCAACGGCTGAGTCTCGGCAATAATCCTGTCGTTACGGTTCCTCCGCCAGAGTCGGCCATTGTAATCGGTGCTTCCGGGCTCGTCGGCCTCCGTGGGCTTCATTTGGGGCTCACGGAAGTACTCGACTGACCATTCGAAGAACACACTCTTGAGTGGAATCTCTGGCTTTTCTGACAGATTCCTGTTCTTGAAACCTCTTGAAGTTGGCTGCTCTACGGTGTGGTATTTCTCCGGAGTCTGAGGACGAGACGCTGACGGGACAGTGGTGTCCTCAGCAGCAGATCTCCCGGATGGCCTCTGTCGAGGGCTTGCTGATTCTTGACCTGCCCAGAGATTCTTCAGCGAAGCACCAACGCTGGTGGATTTGCGGATACCACCGAAAAGAGACAGATATGTCGAGTCTTTCGTCGGTGTTGGAGGATTGGAAGTTTTTTGCGGCGCAGAGGTCTCCTCCACTGCGCGGCGCGTGGGACGAGGAGCAGGCGCATGTTGGAGGGCTTCATCTAGTTGGGGCTGTACGAATTTTCCTAGGGAGGATTCGATGAGAGCGATAAGAATGCAGTCAACGACTATTCCAGCGTCTTTTGCGATTTCCGGGTGCGGGTCCACGGACATGACCAAAAGCTCCTTCCATATGGCAGAATATATGGTGTTCTGTGAACAAGACGTCGATTCCGAAGCGCCGTCTGTCGCTCCTGAACGTGTCTTCATGTAGAGCATTTCGGTGCTTTTGTCATCTGACTGCTTTGTGTCCATGTTGGCATGATCCTCGGATAATTGTTCGAATGCAGCTACTATGAATCGGGCCTTGTAGCGAGCGACGAATGTTGAGAAGAATATGAGCAATTCTTTGCGCACCATACTGTTACCATCCATTGTCATGATAAGAATCATTGACGCGATAGACTCCTCAATGTTAGCCACTTGGGGAGTGACGTCGCGAA